AACCGTAGATAATTGCAGCAATGCCATTTAGTTTTTGGACTGACATCGTTATTGGCAATGGTACTTTATTTTTTTCAAAATTTAATTTTATTTTTTTGTCTTCCTACAAGGGCTATGGTCAGAGCACTGCAGGGCAGATTGTAGTGGTCCTCTCTGTAGCCGCAGTAAGAGTCAGCACAGCAGTGTGGGGTTTTTTTTTTTCCTTTTTTTCCCCCCCTTGTCCACTTTTCCACCTTGTTGACAATGGTGTTTTACCAAGGCCAAAGCCCAGCTAGGTTAATTTTCATAGAGCAAACTTTGTCACTTCAGAGTGGTCTTTTGTAACCAGACCAACAAGTCGGTATCATTCAATGCATTGTGAGGATATGGAAAGTCACACTGAAAAGTTTTTTTTTGTTTGTTTGTTTGTTTTTGGTGCTACTGTTTGAGGACTTAAACATTTTTCTGTAACTCTCATCTATTTCAATTTGTTGTTCATACAGGGGAAAACAAGCCAGAAAAGGCACACAAAATGTTTGACTGGTGTTAAAAGGAAAGAAATCTAAAACTTAAATATACCGTTTATTTCACTTCATGTCGAATGTAAATATGTTGATTGTGGTAAAAGTGCTTGAGTGTTTCCATGCTTCCACAGTAGAACACAGTCTACCTCAGCTGAGGGGGCAGGGGGTTGTTGTGGCACCAGGTGTCCCACCCTGCCCCCACTGAGCGCCACTGCGCACTGATACCTCAGTCCCCCAAATGTCTTTCTGTATGCGCACACCATCCTGACACTGCGCTTAACTGAGGGGCACAAGTGATTCTTATAATTATCCCGACACCGCCGATGCCCTGCTTCTTCCAAACCACCCTCCTCACACCTCTTCCTCCGCAGTTTGTTTTGATCTACCTCTTTAGACACACATTTGAAGTAGAGGCGTTCTTCTGTTTGAATTTAGCCCCCATGCCACCCCTTGCTTGCCCAGATATGAATGAAAGCTAAAATCATGTACTCTTAGAATTGAGGATAATTGAAAGTGATCAAAATTTCTTTTGCCAGTGTTGATATACTTGGTTTAATTTAAATTTTCAAACTGTTAATTCTTAGTTCTGTTTTTGGTGGTGTGGCTTACATGTATCTGAACCTTTGCTTTTTTTTTTTTTTTTTTTTTTGACAGACAAATCATGTTTAATTTTACATTTGATAATGAATTAATTTTTTTTTCCCCTGAAAGGGCCTACCTTTTTTGTTTCTGATTTGTAAGACTTCAAAATAAGTCCTGTCTATTTTCCCTTTTGTCTTTCACAGATGCTACAGACTAATTTGGTAGCTAGTTTCTTCTGTTAGTATTTCCTGGCTGTGTAACATGGAACATGCTCTTGATATGGGACAGATCTGAGGGATTGAGTTTGAGATTTTTGGACTAGTGATTCACTTCAGTATGATACACCCCCCCCCAAACCATGCTTGGGCCTCTTCACCTCCCACTCATACACAGCTCCATTTGTCAAAGCCTCTCAATAAAACAAAAATAATGCAGTTGCAATGTTTGTCCTTTCTCCCCACCCAAACGTTGGATCTTAGTGTAGTTGGGTGTATCTGTATAGCACAGTAAGGCTGTCCTCATTACATGCCTATACAGGCAACAGTGTACGTGTTGTGCTCAAAAGGCTTGAAGAGAAAAAAACTGTACATGACCTGAAACTCGGTATACATCTACAAATCCTTTTGCTTTAAACTAAGGATAGTTGGCATGCTTTAAATTTTGAGCCTAATATTTCAAGAAATCTTCTAGACTGAATGTTGTACAATGGCTTCCTGGCCCTTGCAAAGAAAAATGATACTGTTCTGTTAGCTGGCTTGTTTCTAGTGGTGGTTTTCAGTGACTGAGCTATAAATGCTTCTAATGGGGTCAGCTTCAACAGGTGAGATTTTTCATTGGGCCTTTTAAAGTATTTTCTTGCTCGGTATGTAAAAGGAGAAATCAAAATCATCTGTACCAAGCCGTGACAACCTTTTTGAGTGGATGCAGAGTTAATGTGACTGAGAAGTGGTGTAATGTCTTGCTAAATGTAGTTTGAGATTTTTGTACTCTGGACTGGTAGTATGTTGTATAGCCAGTAGTGCTACACAAAAAGCCATACTACACTATTTTGCATTTAGTGCAACATTTTATGTGTGTGCAGCACATTCAAATCAGGGATTCAGTATATTGTATAAATCCATATTGGAAGTTTTTGATTGTGTTCTCATTTTAATTGTTTAACTGACTTCAAACTATTCAAGTGAAATGGTAGAATTCAAATTTTTAAAGTATTTTACCCAAGCCTTGGATTATTGAACTGTTTTCTACTGACATTTGGTGAAATATTCATATTTTAATAGTGACTAATCTGAATGTCTTCACAGGATGAGTCTTGCATTTAAATTTTCCAGTAATTGACTGAGCTGAGGAAGAGCAGATATGTCACTGATACTATAAATTTTGTATCAGAAAGCCATCTCATGGAGTTTTTACTTAGCTGTAGATTATTGCAGCATACCAGTTCTAAAAAGGATATTTTGCATAAACTTTGTGTAAAGGTTTTCCCTTTGATCAAGAAACTTATTTCGTTTCCTAGCAACCACAAACTACCACCCTCTTCAATGAACAATCATGTGCTGTAGCAAACTTTCAGGCAAACAATTTATGACAGACATTTACTAATGTAGTTACAAATCTTGCACACCTGACTTTTTAACAGTTTTTTTTTTTCCTTAAATTTGCTTAACATAATCAGATTTTAGCCATGAAAGGCAGAAACGGTATAATTCTATAAAGCCTACAGGGGCTGTCTTTCAGTCAGCAGGTGCGTGCTCTCCTCACTGGAGGGGAAGAGGGCCTCCCTCAGGCGGACCATGTGACTGACCTTACCATGGCCACAAGCATCTTCCCTTAGTGACCTATGAATGGGTTGGTACACCTTGTAACGCCTGAGTGATAGAGAGAGAGAGAGAGAGAAGGGATAGGGATGAGGAATAAGGGAGGGCCGGGTACAGAAAATGAGCTGGGTTATGGCAGTGTACAGAAACAGGAGAGATAAATGACAAGTGCACATGTGTGTATGCAGAAGTCTGAACCTTGGAATATGTTGATGTCCTCATGCTACACCATGTTCTGTATGTACTCATTGTTGTAGTAAATACTCACTTGTAGACAAGAGAAGCAATGAGTGCAGACACAGCCACCAGCACAGCGCACAAGGAAACAACCACCCCTGCAATGTAGTGAGTCTTGGACACTGCAAGTACAGAAACGGACGGTGAGAAGAACAGATGGAGCAGACACTGAACTGCCCTCTTTCTAAAGCTTCTAGGTTTTTTTTCCCCTCCCCAGAAACTGAAGGAAGTATTTGTGGGGAAAAACAAAAAGTGTTTTGTTGGTGTAACTGACCAGATGAGTTCTGGGACTTGTTGATGCTAACGGCAGTCCTGGCCAGGGTCGTGCTGCTGCTGTCCATCAGGGTGATGTTAACACAGTAGGTGCCAGGTTCCAGAAACGTTCGCCTGAGATGCACTTCACACTCTGACGATGGCGGCACATCATCGCAAGTGATGTTACGCACTTCAGTACAGCTGGGGTCTGACACAATGGTACAGGCTGAAGCGGGGATGCTGAAGATCAGGGATGGAGAAATGAAGGATTAAATAAAATGCTTGATCTAAAACTTGTTTTTAAAAAACAGTTCTAAGATGCCATAGCACCGAATGGCCAAATGATCTGTTGGGCACTGGAATGTTTGTCTTCACGTTAAACTGTCAGCTCTGTGAAAAAGATACAGGTGCAAAATGCAAATGACAAGACAGTACAAAAAAGCACCTGTGAAAAAGATACGGGTGCAAAATGCAAATGACAAGACAGTAATGCTATTAGTGTTTTCAGTTGTTTTATGACTAGATTCTCTGATAAACCTCATTTCTTGCACAGAATTGTGCAACTTTGCTTAACTTGGTGTAACTGCAATCTTGAAAATGTAAAACTTTATAAATTACTTGTCCCATTTAATTTAAAGGAAATATCTGTTTTAATTTATTTTGTGAGCTGGAAATAAAGTGTTTTAAGCATAGTTTATGTGCTATTCCTGTGAGAGAAAGTGTCATTAAGTGAAACGTTTTGTTTTTTTTTTGTGGAGAGAGTTTTGGATTTCATACAATGCCTGTTTAACATTCATATAAAATAATGAAGTAAAAACTCACCTGCCCAGACATTTCACTAGAAAGCTGATGTCATTGTTGGCCACTTTGACAGCAGACACATCCACAATACAACTATTTGGTTGGCTGTTCAGTGTGCAGTTGGGTTCTGTAGAGAACAGATTAATGCAGTTGTCATCTTCTCAAAACTTTAAAGTTTTTAGTGGAGCTTAGTGTGTGTGTTTGACTCCCTTTAGACAGGATTACAGATAGAAATAAACTTAAGTGGTTAGAATTAATTTGATATAAGCATGTTATAAATTGTGTAGATACATTGTTCAAGGGTAAGACATGAAACCAGTGACTTTGCTCTATCCCCTGCTGACTGAGTGTCCAAGGTGTTGGACAAGTGAATGTTTTCGCTTGAGGGAATGTCAGTGTATCACCAATGCAATTATAATTCATCCTGAAGTGTACATGAATGTCTGTATAAAATTTCATGGCAATCTGCTTAATATCTGTAATGACATTTCAGTTAAAACCATATATTTTAACCACATGATTGTGCTAGAAAAAAGTTAGGCAAAAGTTGGACTATTACCAAAATTGTTTTGGACTCATTTTCTGGGATCCAAAAATGTCTGTAAAAACTTTATGGAAATTTATCCTATAGTTGTTGAGGTATTTAAATTTCGACCAAAGGGGTTAACCAAATGAATGATAGTCATTTTCATCCCTGGACCAATTGTGGCTAAACATAAGCAAATATTAAACAAGGTTAAATTGGATAGTTTTTTATTAAGCACCATTTTATTATTTTTATAAAGCCACTATGTGTAGATTTAAACGTTACTGACTTTGTCACCACCCTGTGGTTGTATCAAAATGAAAGCTATGCAGGCTGCTTAGGAAATTAAGAAACAATTTTGGCCACACAAATTCAAAGTAGTGTTAAATTATATGTATGCTCATCAGGTTACAGTGAAAAAGAACTTTACCAATAATGGTAACGTTGCCTGTGAAGAACCCATAGACGTAACGGAAACACTCATTGCTGTTGAGCTGTCTAGTGTGGAGCCAGGCCAGGGTGGTGGGGCTGGACCCTGTGCTCGCACTGTCGGCAGTAGTGGGAAGGGGCTCCGTGATGGGCAGTGTTGTGGTCGTGGCAACAGGGGAGGAACTGGGGAAAGACCAGCTGGTGCTGGGTGGCACTGAAACGGGAAACAAATGACAAGATATTAATTCACTGGACAAACGTACGTATGTAAAGTATGTTGACGCATGCAGATGTTTTACATTCAAGATACTGATTCCTTATTAAAAATAAATGTTTCTGTTCAGATTCATTTCCTCAGTCTTCCTCACTCTTATTATCTCTCATACATACACAAACACAGACTCTCTGTTAGCTGTGGAACCTCACCCTGTGTTGTCTCCGTCTTGACAGTAACAGCATGGGTACTGGGTGGAGGTGTAGGAGTGTCTGGAGGAAGAGACGGGAATACAGACATGACCATAACTGACACATCTCTGACTTGTAATTTAACACTTTGTTATGATCTGTGCAGTGAAAGTCACCAATTTGTTTGTCATCTCTATTAAGGACAGAAAGAGGAACCAGTTGTCCATCAGTTGTCCTGCACATATTTTCATGCATGCTCTAGTCATACTTACTATAGCCATGCAGATAATTTTGGTTTCATCTCTGTCTCTGAGATTTCTGGAGTCACTCAATGCAACAGAGGTAAATTCAATACAACAGAGGTAAATTTTGATGCTGTGGCACTCACAGCATCAAAAGTGCATTTAATTCCTGGAATAATTGCAGTTCTGTTAAAAAATTGTTTAACTGTTCACTGTTTAATTTGAACTCCGTTCCACAGAAGAAATAATCCCTAATTGCATCCTAGAAATGTTTGAGACAGATATCTCATGGGCTGAGTAAATAAAACCCAAGTTATTTGAATGACTAGCTCATAGTGAATGGGGAAAAACTGAGTGAAATGATCCTTTAAAACCAGCATCTTTACTTACTAGACCACTATGCTGTCAGTGTCTCTAATCCTGATCCCAGTAATGGACCAGTTATCAGCAGTCCTTACACTGGCTGTGCTATGTTTATAGTTGTATACCTGTATTGTCCTGTCTGACTAATTGATACTACATACTGAGTAGGTCAACATAGTGAGGTAGTGTTCATTTTTGGCAGTGGAGTACGCTATATAAGGAAATGTCACACAGTGTTTAATTTTTTTCATAGCATGTGTTATATTCACCAGTATCTTAAAACAGTTCTTTCGGCCTGTTACCTGTCGGAAGTGCTGGTGTGGGACTTGTAGGAGCTGAGGTGGTGACAGGTGTTGGGCACTCTACAAGGAATGCAGCCTCCACCACCAGTTTCACGCTCATGCTGCCCAGTGTATTGTAGGTGTGTGTGGTCACACTGCGCTGTGTTACCAGCTGGTTGCCATCACCGAAATCCCAGATGTAGTCAATGGCAGCAGCAGTTTTGAGGTAGCCGCTGGGGTCGTGGAGCTGGACTTTGAAGACCACGTCTTTACCGCGAAAGAAAACTGACTGGTTGACTGCCGCCTTCTGTGAGATGCTTACTGCCACTGGGATCTTATCTAAAAAGGTTTGTGTAGGTCAGTAATAGGTACTCTTTTTCTAGGTTTCTTCTTATGTTTGTGTCTGTTTGGCTAAAACATGTTGATACATAAAGTTGTATAAGCTACATATGTGAGGTTTGTCTCCACCTGTGACATAGAAGACAGTGTTGTCAGTCGTGAGGGGACAGTACTTCCTGCGCTCACGTTTCCTGTAAACCATGACCTCCATGACCTCTGCCCCCAGTGGGATGTTTGTGGTGTTGATGGACACACTGGAGGATGAGCCATCACACGTCTCATAGTATTGGCCTAGGACAAACACAAGGGGTGAACGAAGAAAGTAATCAAGTACTTATTTGGATTTTCCTTTTGCCAGCGTGCAAATCTGTAAACCTGAGTGTCTCACCCATTGTGTGCCAGATATAGACATACTTCTTCCTCCTCCAGTCATTGCTCTGGGGGAAGGGCTTTCCATCAGGGAATACATGGCATTTTGTGGTGTCTGTACACTTTCCAACGCCATAGTCATCCAACCAAGAAGTCCAGTTGTACACAGATCCAGAGTGCACCTGTCCATTTGCTGCTCAGAAGAGAAGAAAATTATGTAAAAGCAAAAACTTGAGCTGTCTTTACAGTATGAATATTTCTACATTAAAATGGGTCAAATGCATGTAAAGGGAGAAATTCCAGATATACTGTAATTGTATCTCAATTTTGCACTTCCCCTCAGTGTTATATGGACCTTTTTAGTTACTTCCAGCTCATAGTTTTGGTTTTGTAGGCCACAGCTTTGCTATTTTGGTTCAGTTTTATCACTCTCATCAACCATAGTCTCCAGCTGCAGCAGGCTGCTGTTGCACCTAATGAATCTTAATGTTGCTCTTTGTGTGCTGGGTGCAAATATTTGCTAAAATGTGTTTTACTAACATTACTATGTTCTTGTGATAGGGCTTTGTGTATGATTTGTGGTGGTGGTCTTATATGGTGTGATCAGTGTGGAGGAAGCTACTTTCACAGAAGAGCTTTGCAAGTTATCAACTACTTTACACTGGAAAAAGTTGAAGTACAGCAAAGCTGCCCTCTAGTGAGAAATCTAGTTTGGTTAATTTAATCTACTAGAAAATGTAGTTCAAACTAATTTGTTAAGAAAAGCAAAGTGACAATGTACATATGATTGACATTATAACAAAAATGAACAGAGAAGAGTCACATACCAGCAAAAATGCTACTCAATTACAAAAAGTGCCTAGTTGTTCACAGGTCATACATCAATCAATCCATCAACAAAAGATACCTCACTATTCATGGGAAAGTACAAGGAATGTCAGCTCTGCTCCATCAGACACCTGCCTGCTAGAAACTCCAGTCCAGGTGGGGTGTTTCACTATGCAGGATTACTCAGTTAGCCAGGTAACACCTGAAACCCTATGCACCATGCATCTCTGAACATTTTTTAAATAAATAGCAATTATCAATATTTTGTTGTAAACAAGTAATACTTGAATGCAGATCTGAATGCAGCAAGAGTGAGCAAAATGTACTTAAACTACCAGATTATTTCATGTAGTTCACTGCTCCCTAACACTGGCTGTGATGCTGTTTTGTGGCAGACAATGATACAATGTGTTTAGGGGTGTGGGCCTGGACTCCAGCTCCATACCATCCTCACAGTGCTCATCCCAGATCAGGTCACCGTTGGCATCCTCCTTCTGGCATGGAGAATACGCCAGCTTGGCAGTGAAGGTGATACAAGAACCATTCAGAGCGGGGCTGTCGCTGGTCAGATGAACCCTGGGTTTACCTGCCGAGAGGTGGATGTTCCAGGTCAACAACTTAACACAGGATATTTCTGAGAGAAAATCAACAACCCTGCTCACCTCTTTTGTGCATGAGCTCCTGTGAATTTGGGTTTAGTGGTGGGTAGAGGTAATCATCCCATGGGTTGGTGTCAGGATCCCAGCCAGG